TAAAATATTATGCAAAGTGTAGAAATAAAAATGATACTGTGATTGCAACAATGTAAAATATGTAAGCATTTGACAAAGAGCAAAGAAAAATAAAACCAGTACCAAAGGTGGTGAGATCATGTGATCATTTTTTTTCTTTTATTACCTGTCTTTAACTAGTATTGTATTTATTTAAGAACATAATTAGGAATGGAAACCTTGTAGGCGTTACGGTGTATATTTGTTTAAAGTCTTGCTTTCACGAATCTAGGTACTTCCATACGTGCAGGTAAAAACTAACTGGCTTAGTTTTGGGTATGGAAATATAAATGAAAACACATTTAGTCGGGACTTCCCTGGCAGTTCAGTGGTTAAGACTCCTAGCTTCCACTGCAGGGGGCACAGGTTCCATCCCTGGTCAGGAACTAAGATCCCACATGCCATGCAGCATGGACAAAAAACCCCCCCACATTTAGTCAATTTGTAAATTCATTTACCTGAATGTCAGCAATAGATAGCATTATTTTAAAATATCTGAAATATACAGAATAAAACGATAAACAGATATTACCAACAGTTACACATCCTGTGTACCTGGCACCCCTCTTCCACCTCTCAGAGACAGCCACTATCCTAATTTGATATTTATCATTCCCATGCATTTTAATATGCATTTTATGCATATTTGTACTTGCATAAACATAACACAAAGTTTTACACATTTAAAAATTTTATGTAAATACTGTAAAAAATGTTCCTTTTTTGCCTCTTGTTTTTTACTCAACATGTTTCTGAGATTCATCCAGGTTGCTATATGTATTCATTTGCATCCTCTAGAGTAGTCTGTAATATAAACATACCACATTTTGTTTATTGCTGATCCCACTGATTGACATTTGCATGGTTTCTAGAATTTTATTACAAATAACACTATTATGAATATCTCTTGCATGTCCTCTTATACACATTTATAAGCATTCCTATAGATCAGTGCTGTCCATTAGAACTTTCTAGGATGACAGAAATATCATTGTGCTGCCTATAAAGTAGCCACTAGCCACTAGTCACAGAGTAGCCACTGAGCCCTTGAAATATACTCATGCAACTGAATTTTAATTTAATTAAATTAATTTAAATTTAAATAGACACAAATGACCAGTGTCAACTGTATTGGACAGTGCAGCTCTAGATCATAAATGTAGGAGTATGTGCTGGATCATGACAAGTGCATATCATCGACTTTAGATATTACAGAACTGCCCCCCAAAGTGGTATGGAGGTAAGTGTGATGTACATCCCACTACTGGTGTGCAAGACTTCCTGCTGTTTCACATCTTCACCAACAATTGGTGTTATCCTACTTTTTAATTTTTTTGATCTTTAAAAATATTTTGTCATTATGGTTTTAATATAAACTTACCCGATGACTAGGGAGCCCAAGCAAATGTTCATGTTTATTCGCCATTTTGGCATTTCCTTTCTTGTGAAACCGCTATGTATGTCTTCTGACCATTTTTCTATTGGGTATTTTGTACTTTTTTCCTTTTTAGGAGTCTTAAATACATATATTCTGGTTACCAATCTTTTGTGAATATATATACCCCAATATCTTTTCCAGTCCATGGCCTGTCTTTTCATCTATTCCATATAGTAGAATTTAACTATGATTTTATGATATATGCCTTTTGAGTCTATTTTAAACTATCCCCAGGTCAGAAAGCATTCTCCTAAAATGTCTTCATAAATTTATTTTGCTTTTTATATTTAGGTCCTTTATCTATGTGGAATTGATTTGCGTGAAATAAGGACATAATTTTATGTTTTTGCTTTTCCAGAAGCAATTTCCACATGTCCAATTCTTCAGTATAACCTCTGTCACATATCAAGTATCCATGTGTGCATGGGATGCTTTCTGAGGTCTTGATGCTATTGTAGATTGATCTGTCATCTATTTTATTTATTCCCATAACAAAGACTCTTAATTCCTATAGCTTTATACCCTCTTGATATATGATAGAATAAGTCTCCCCTGGCCCCAGATATAACTCTTCAAAATATTCTTGGCCATTTGCTTTTCTATAATAGTTCAGGATTTTTTCCTTATTAGCACTAGTGGGGAGATGTGTACTTTTATGACATTTAGTCTTCCTACCCATTTTTTCACGTAAGCAGATCTCCTTTAATGTTAAATGGTCCTCACTTCTCACCCTCAATGTTGCCATCCTAGTCCAAATTCATTATCATCTTGTTGGAAATTCTGTGGTATAAATGTACCTCCTGTACCCAAGCTCAGCACACACCCCACCTGGCCCCAATCCCGGGTCTATTCTCCATAAAGGGCATAGAGGGATTCTTTAATTGTCATCAGACTATGTCAGAGTTATGCTCAAATCTCTCTAACAACTTCCAAATCACTAAGAATAAAAATGCTAATCTTTAATGATGGGCTAGGAAAACCTATGTGATTTGGTCACCAGCCGCTCCTGTGACCACATCCTCTGTAAGGCTCAGCTTGCTCAGTCCACATCTCAGACCTATTCACGCACAGTTCCCTCTGCTTGTTATGCTCTCTCCAGGTGTGTGGATGCCTCACTCCCTCACTTCATTAAATATCTGCTCCAGTGTCACTTTATCTTAGAAAGGACTTCACCCCCACGCTATCTAAACTAGCACCCTGGTCCATATCACTAATTCACTCAGCTTAATTTTTCTTCGTAATGCCTGACATACTATCTATTTATTTGTTAATTTCCTTTGTCCTGCATTAGGATGTGAGCTCCATGAGGAAGCAATGTGTGGGTGCTTCCCCTCTGTACGCACCTTATTCACTGCGGTATCTGGACTGTTGCAGTGAAATTGGCTCATTGTATATACTCTTCACACAGTGCCTAAGTATATTCTAGGACTGCAAAAAAAAGTTTGTTCAAGGTGGTTTTATATTTTCTCTTTGATAAACTTATTCCTGGATCCCTTATATATATATATATATATATATATATATATATATATATATATATATATAAGGGAAAATTCAATCTGAATACATTCATTGGTTCAAAGGTCCTTGGAAGAACATAATCTTATTTTTTCCCTCTTTTCTTCTCACTTTTATGAGTTTTCTTTCTTTCAGAAGTCTATGGAAACCAGACTGAAAACCACCAGTATGCTCAGAGCCCTACAAAGACAACTGATTGGGAGTATGCAATTCCAGCCTTGCTGCTTCTTCCAGAAGGCATAAAATACCTAAATGATGAATATATACAAATATATGGATGTAGATTGAGTATGTGTGTGTAAACACACATGCACAGGCACATACTATTTCTCACTCTCCTCATAAAAGCAAATAAAATATATTTTAGGGAGATTTAATATGAAATCCCAAATCTATATATGGGAGAAATATGTAGAAAAAACTTCAAATTAATACCTTCTTGGAGACTAAATTGCTAGTTACCATAGTAAATAACGTCCCCAAAAACTAAACTTAGGACTTCCCTGGTGGTGCAGTGGTTAAGAATCTGCCTGCCAATACAGATGACACAGGTTCGATCCCTGGTATGGGAAGATCCCACATGCCACTGAGCAACTAAGCCCATATGCCACAACTACTCAGCCTGTGTTCTAGAGCCCGCGAGCCACAAATACTGAGTCTGAACAACTACTGAAGCCCACGCGCCTAGACCCCATGCTCCGCAACAAGAAAGGCCACTGCAATGAGAAGCCTGCACACCACAACGAAGAGTAGCCCCTGCTCGCCGCGACTAGAGAAAGCCCGCAAGCAGCAACGAAGACCCAACGCAGCCCCCCCAAAAAAATTTTTATAAAGTAAAATAAACTTTATGCTCTGCTGAAATTTTAAATTAAATATAAAAAGGCTGCAGAAAAAATCGTTTATGATAAAACCAGGGAATACTGAGAGATACTTGAATTCACACATTTAATAAATATTACACATGCCAAAGTATTAAGACATTTATAAATTATCCTTTAGCTCAGCTCCTGTTAGGTTGTTCCCAAAACAATGGGGAAGGGGTAGTTAAAATGCCACTTTACCATTTCTGTAGCTTGTGGGAGTCATATCCTCTTCCTTTCCTTTTTTTTTTTTTCTTTAAAGAAGTCTCTAAACTAAAAGTGAACTTAATAATATATTTCCTTTTTCACCCTAGCACAAAACATATGACTAGGGCAATATTGGATTAACTCCTCTATTGGGCATCAGTAAGTTAATTTTTTTCCTCCTGAGATTCTAATGCATCAAAAATTTTAACATGTAATATCATAATGCCTTCTAAGATTGGGATTCTTTAAATTTGTATATCAAATTGTGAAGGACCAATTCTTGAAGATATTCCCAACCCTCACATACTACGCTCCTTATGTATATCACTCAAAGTCCTGGCAGGAAACAGATGGCACACTCGAGCTGGCTAATTAAAGACAGTTTAACAAAGGGACGATTTATAAAGATGCAATAGGAAATAGGAAAAAAACAACAAGAAATCGATCAGGTACCTGAAAGGACAAAGCAGCCAGAGTTGTTATTATCTCTAAGCTAGAAGAAGCAAATAGAAGTTATCAAAAACTGGAGGGGGTAGCTTAACAGAGAGGGTCACCTGTCAGGAGGTGTCATCTTCAGTAAGTGACACAGCTAATCATGGTAGTAACCTGGCAGGAAAGGAGCCAGCAGAATAAATATCCAAATGTCCTCTTTCTGATATCCTGCCGGTGGTATCCTGGTCAAACCGAATCAGAGGACAAGAGAACCTACTAATACAACGTATATAGGTCAGCCCCCAGGATATGAGGCAGGGTAAAAGATGACTGAGAGGATACAGAGAGGCAGAACAAAGGTATCCATCACCCACCTCCCTGCCACTTCGGCATGAAATGTAGTGAAAATCACCTTTCAGTTTGGGAATAGCATGGTGGGAGTTTCTCATCAGCGGAACTAGAAAGCAGTTTGTATACTGAGGCATCTGTGGGGGAAAAGGAACACATTATGCAGACACTCGGACATGTTATAAGGTAAGAGAAATATTTATTTAATTTTACACAAGAACGAGCTTATACTGAACAAATTCAACCAAATAATATTAAGTGCAGTAAAACAAGGAAATAAGGATGACATCTCTTGTTAGAAAATATTAAGTAACCATGCCTGTGCATTATTTTTATCATGACAATAACTCGTTTCAGATTTCTTCTCAGAGTGTATACTGTACATATAACATGTTATAGCTTCTTTGCTTTGCTTCGGAAAACAGAATTCGTTCACTGCCTTACATTTTATTTTTTGTAGTGAAGAACTGAACTGATTTGTGAAGATTCTGATCTAGAGGAAAATTTTCTGCACCAGTGAAGCTAGAGGCTTCCAAAGCTCCCGTAAGCTCAGGGTTTACATCCAGAGGTCGTGATGTCATGGTGTGTATTTCACACGCATTCTTTTACATGCCAACGTCAGATGCAGTTGAGGTGGAATTCTGGTCTAGTTTTGCCCCAAGAAGTTTCCTTTTGTGATTTTCTCAAGCTCCACAAATTTCATAATTGAAAGTTTACTCAGCTATTAACAATGCCGCACTTAGCTGCCCACAAATCATCCACTTCAATTTTTTTTTTGGTCTTTTTAATGAAAGAACATTCTTTAAACAGAAATTTCCAGTGAGACAGTTAACTTCACAGTTCCTGAAGGCACTGTGGATCCACTGAGCAACAGATGTGGCCATTCTAGAGAAGAGAGGGGAAAAAAAGCATGGTATTACTTTTTAAGCCATTAGTCAATATTCATCGATTGGTACACATAACGTAACTGAATGGTTTATTTGTTATTTATGTGCCCCTGAAAGTTCAATGGCTCAATCACTTTTCATGCCTCTACTGTTGCAGAACAAACTATGGCCAGTTATTTGTGGCAAATCATAAGCTAGCTTTATTTACCCCATGGCACTCTCTTAGCTCACATTTGTTGTTTTATTTACTCATTCACAAAATAAGCATTGAGTAAATTGAGCCTGAGATATGCTGATGAATGAATAAAGCAGATATGGTCACTACCCTCATAGGACAGGGCTTATAGGTTTTTGGGGGGGAAATTAATAAGCAAATGTACAATCAAAAATTGTGAAAAGTGCTAGAAAACAAACAAACTAGGTGATGTCATGAGATTAATAAATGTCTGGCTACTTAGATTGGGTGGCCAGAGTAGACTTCTCTGTAGAAGTGATGTTTAAACCAAGACCTCAAGACAGATCTGTGAAAAGGTAGGCCAAGAGCACAGGGAACAGAATGAATAAAAGGCTTTAACGTGAAAAGAGTTTTGCGTAGTTAAGAAACCTAAAACGGTTTGGTCTGGGTGAGAATTTTAAGTTGGTGAAGAAAACAGTGTAGAGATGAGGCATGAAAAATAGTCAAGGAAGAGCCAGATATGCATAATTAGTTTTTTTTGTTTGTTTGTTTTGTTTTTTGCTGTACGCGGGCCTCACTGTTGTGGCCTCTCCCGTTGCGGAGCACAGGCTCCGGACACGCAGGCTCAGCGGCCATGGCTCACGGGCCCAGCCGCTCCGCGGCACATGGGATCTTCCCAGACCGGGACACGAACCCTTGCCCCCTGCATTGGCAGGCGGACTCTCAACCACTGTGCCACCAGGGACGCCCCCATAATTAGTTTTTATAACAAAGTACCAAAAGAGTATGGTGTATTACAGAGAGGAAAAAAATTTGTATCTTGTTCTTTTGAATCCTTGTGCTCTTACTTTCTTCCACTGACTAGCTAATAATAATGAAAATGTTAGTATTGTTACTACAATCATAAGATGATAATACCCTTCTACTTTCTGAGTGCGTACTCTGTGTCAGATACTTTGCCAGGCACTTTAAATACATTATCTAATTTCAACCTCAGAGCATTCCCAGTAGGATCACTATTAATAGTCATGTTTTTTTAGGTTCACAAATTGAAGATCAGAAAGCTTAAATATCACGGCCCAAATCACAAAGCTAATATAATGGTACAGCTGGGATTAAAATTCAGGTTAGTCTGACTCTAAAACTCATCTTCTATTTGATATATTCTCTCAGATAATTGACTTTAGATGATTGAAAATGTATCAGACCTTAATATGATAAAACCAAAAGGGTCTGTTCATGTAAGATAAAACTTAAGAAAGGACTTTGGTACTTTAGCCTTTGTTGAAGCTTACCGAATGAGGGAAAAGCCAGTCTATATCCAAGAAGAGTATTATCAATTTAACTTAATCCTCTTGTCTTTTTAAATTGTTATTAAGCAGAGTTCTTATTCTGACAGCAAAAGAAGGTGACATCCATCTCTTGGATCTCTAGCTGCATTTTAAAGCTCTGTCATTATGCTCAGAGGCAGAGGTTTTCTGGCCATAACCTAGTGACATGATCTTTCCCAATCCATTGACCCAATGAAGGGAGGGGTGTACCAGTTCCTGAGAATATCAGTTTCTCAAATTGTATGGATTTTGAGCAGAAAGAGAGTTAGGGAATGTTTGGAGTATGAGTATGTTGTAGGAAGAGAAGGTATATTTTCCAAGTCTTCCAGTAGTGTTTTTCTTATTCCATATCAATTCTGCTATAGCAAAATAAATGCTCTACAGAGCATGTCATTGGAAGCTCCCCAATTAGGGAAACATAGCTCATACAAGAAAGATTGATAAAATATTCCACTGGGGTTCCTGTTTCAGTAATACCAGAGTTACTTATTTAAGACTATCAACTGACTATCCCTCCTATGGATAACTATAAAGTTTGGACAAAATATAAAAACTATTTAAAGCAATGGAGAGTGACTAAAAGCAGGTAGACACTGGAGGAGTTTCAATCTTTAAAAGAAGATGTACTGTTTGAGATTCATTTTTACCTGGCATTTTCCCTTAGGGCACTCCTAGTCTGTGACGCTTAGGATAACTATAACTCAAGCAGAAAGCCACAATCTGATAGGGCCCACATGTCAGAGGACAACATTTAGGGCTCTGTTGGGCTGCCAGAGTGGCTGGAAATTCAGAAGGAAATGTCTAGAAAGGAGGGAGTGAATCAGCATGTCAACTCCCCTCAAATCTGTGGCGGGTCTTTGAATTGCAGAGGAGACTCTAAAGAGACAATCAGAGAGTCACAGCTTGAAGTTTGAAAGATTTGAGCAGATATTTCAGACGCTGCTCACTGTGGGTTTAAAATCTATGTCCTGCCAAGTTAGAAGGGACTGATAAAAAATTCAGGCTTTCCATTGAAAGCCCAAAAGGGCCATGATTAGGAAGAAAATGATGTCTCAAGATTAAGAGATTCACCCTAAAAGTAAGGGTACACCTGGAATAGACCCACCTAACCAATGTAAAGCCCAGCCTTTCCAACTGAAGATGACTGGCCAGTAATTTACAATCTGCTAGAACAAAAATAGTCTTCAGAAGAAGCTAATAGAATGTAGGGTCTATACTACGTATTATCCACAATATCCAGTAAGCCATAAACATTACTAGACATGTGAAGAAAAACAGAAAAAAGTGACTCCTCACCAAGAGAAAAACTAGTGAATAGAAATGACTCAAAGTTAATCCAGATGGTAAAGACTAGAAAGTAGCTATTACTAATATGTACAAAGATGTAAAAAAAAAGATGGTCATAATGAATGATAAAACATGGTAAGTTACAACAGAGAAATGAAACTATAAATAGAATTAAATAAAAATTCTGGAACTGAAAAGTGCAATATTTGAAATGAAAAATTCATTGGATGGGTTTAACAGCAGATTAAAGATGGCAGAAGAAACAGTTAATAAATTTAAAAAAATAGAAATTATCCAATCTTTTAAAAAAAGAGAAAAAGATTGAAATAAAAATAGAACCTCAGTGACCTTCAAGATAATATTAAACCATATAACATGTGTAATTGGAGTCGCAGAAGAATAGGAGGGAAATAATGTGGCAGACCAAATATCCGAAGAAACAATGGCCAAATTTTTCTGAAATTTGATGAAAATAATCTACTTAGATACTCAAAAAGCCCAGCAAATACCAAAGAGGAAAAAAAATAAAAATAAAAAACATACTTAAGTGCATCATAGTCAAAATTCTAAAAACCAAAGATACAGAAAGAATCATGAAAGGAGACAGAGGAGAAAAATAAGACATATTACATATAAGGGAACAAAAGTACAAATGATAGCTGAATCCTTATCAAAATAATAGAAACTAGAAAACAGTAGAGTACCACCTTTAAAGTGCTGGGACAAATCTGTCAATCCTGAATTCTATATTTAGTTAAATATCCTTCAAAAATAAAGACATTTTCAAATAAATGTAAGTTGAGAGAATTTGTGGCCAGTGTATCTGCAATATGGAAAATGCTAAAGGAAGTTATTCAAGATAAAGGGAAATAACACTAGATGGAGATTAACATGTGTGAGAAGAAATGAAGAGCACAAGAAATGGTAAATATGTGGATAAATATAAATATAAAATAAATATAAAATTAAAATATAGCATTTTTTCTTCTATTAATTTGCTTCAAAGATATTTGACTTATTAAAGCAAAAATATTGACAGTAATACAGATTTTTAGAGTTTATAGTATACATAGTTATAAATATATAATTATTATAGTGCAAAGGTTAGAGGAATGGGATTATATTATTCCAAAGTTCTTACATTTTATATGAATTAGTATAATATTAAATCTTATTATACTGTAATAAATGAATGATATATGTTACAACTCCTATACCAACAACTAAAACAATCATAAAAAGAGTTATAGTTAAGAATTCAAAAGAACAAGTAAAATTGAATAATATAAAAAATATTAACAAATAGATGATTAAGAATACAAAAAATAGACGGAACAAGTAGAAAACAAATGGCAAAATGGTGGCCCCAAATCCACCAACATCAAAAACAATATTAAATGGACTAACACTTCAATTAAAAGCCAGAGATTGTCACACTGGATACAAAAGTGAGAACTATTTATACATTATCTATAAAAAACGCACTTTAAATATAAAACCATAGATAGGTTGAAAGTGGATGAATCAAAACAATATACCATGTGGCTACAAAAGTACCAGACAATGGACTTCCCTGGTGGTGCAGTGGATAAGGCTCCATGATCCCAATGCAGGGGGCCTGGGTTCGATCTCTGGCAAAGGAACTAGATCCCACATGCATGCTGCAACTAAGAGTTTGCATGCCACAACTAAGAAGGCTGCCTGCCACAACTAAGGAGCCCACGTGTTGCAACTAAGGAGCTGGCAAGCCGCAATTAAGGAGACTGCCGGCTGCAACTAAGACCCGGTTCAACTAAATAAATGAATGAATATTAAAAAAAAAAAAGTACCAGTCAAAATTGACTTCAAGTCTAGAAGCCTTGCTAGAGATAAGGAGGCACATTGCATAATGATAAACTGGTCAATTCACCATTAGATATAAAAGAATACATACTATGTGACCCACTTATATGAAATTTTTAAATAGGAAAATAAATTTACTATAATGAAATAAAATTGAGGTTTCCTATGAGAAGTAGATATTGTCTGGAAGGGGACAAAAAGGTACTTGCTAGATTGCTGGAAATATTCTATATTTTGATTCATCAAGCTTATAAAATTATATACAAAATAACTATGCATTTCACCTTAACAAACATTACCTTGATAAAAACTAGAATAAAAAGTGACCCACTGAAACTTAGGTTGCTAGGAACAGTAACCACC